AGAAAGTGTAGAACATGTGATATAACTAATACAGATAATTACATTGTATCAAACGTTACAAACTTATACATTAACACATATAAAGAAGTAGATGCAGATTGTAACGCTAAAAATGTAGTTTACTGTTTAACATGCAATGGCTGTGGGATACAGTATGTTGGAATGACAGTAAGAAAATTAAAAGAAAGAATTGGAGAACATCTTTCTAATATTTTTTCACACAAGGTACACACACCGTTATATAATCACTTTTACAAATGTGATAGAGGTATAACGGTACAAGTACTAGACTGTATGAAGTCTAATGATAAAACCACATTAATAGAAAAGGAACTTTTTTGGATCAAACTTCTAATGACAGCATATCCCTTTGGGTTGAACGATAACATAAAGGGATATGGAAACATTACAAATATAGATAATCTCATGTACAAGGGCAATCATCCCTTCTTCTCTCTTAAAATTACAAAACAAAGGATAAATAGAGGAAAAAGAAGCAGTAAAAAAATTAAAGTAAGCACATACGATAATATTATAGCAACGATAACAAGTAATAGTGAAACACTCAAACCTATTCATTACTTCAGAATGCTCAAAAGCCTGCGTAAAGAAGAAATTAAGAAACTAATTGAACTCTCCATGTCTGCAGACTTTCTACAAAGAGTTAATAATAAGACTAGGTACTTAATATTTTGTCTGCTAGCTCATTTTCATTTTGACACTACCACAAAAGAAATCACCAAAAAGAACTATCATAATGTAGAGGTCAGTTTCAAAAGCAGGGTGTTTAATGAAATACCCTTCAACAGAATCTTCAATTCACGTATGTTTAGGATATACTACTCAACGATAATGAAGCAGCCATGATATTCACCCCGAGTGTATACTTCGTTTATAAGTACAAGTCAAACACAATGGCCCTAGCAAAATTTGCAATTACAACAAAGTTTGAAAGATCTCGACAACGAAAAATTGAAGCAAATACTCAACAACGATTGTATATGTACTACAAATACAGTACAAGAATATGTGGATAAAAATCATGAACACGTTATCACAGGAAATGTAAATCTCATACAAGAGAGATGGTTTCAGAAGACTACTGAGTAAAGGGACCAAATATAGATCAACACAGGCATACAAGAAGTTAGAATGGTGTTTGAAGATACACTCAACAAGATAATAAATTATTTTAAATATAAATACAAGGCTAGCAATCACAAGATTAATCTATTATATAAACATTTTCGTTCATGTTACCATGACAAAGTAAAACCTTTACTGACAAAGGCTAATATTGAAGATATAGGAGAACACATACCTTACAACTTAATCAAACAATATCAAGAAAAATACGTGTTCTGCCCACTCGACAAAGCAAATAATAACTATGGCATCATCTGTAAGAAGTTCTACCTTCTGAACATTATGCATGAAATGGGCATTTCTTATGATGCTGCCAACCACACATTTGTCTATGGAAATAGTAATAACACATATGAGTTGATGCCTCATACGAACAAGTTTTCTTTAATATAGAAACACAAGTTCCTTTGGTTAAGAATAATATATATCCATTGATGCAGAAATACCTACTATATATGCCTTACCAAAGCTACATAAGAACCCAGTTAAATTCAGGTACATCACAGGTGCACATAGCAGTAGTATTAAACCACTGGCTCAGGAATTACGCATAATCTTCACACATCTTAAAAATCACTTCATAAACTACGCTAAAGCAATTCGGAATCGCAACAGGACTATCAAGACATACTGGTCTATAAGTAATATTAATATAAGTCACGAACTACACAGCATCACGTTCCGACAATCTCAAAATTTACACAGCAGCATTTCCCCACTCGAACATGTCAAAAATTTAGAGATTAGATCTTAATTGCTTAAGAAAATGCAGCGAACTCCTTAACATTGATTCAAAAAATGCCAACAGAACCTTTTATCTGCCATCTAATGGTTTACCATTTTCTATTACAGAGTGGTAAAGCAACTCCAGAACAACTACAGAGATTATTACATAATCCAGCGATTAAGTTAAGTTAATATAACCTTTATTGACTATCTTTTACGTAACAGCTTTTGTCTTTTTGCTAATAATACGTTCAAACAGACTAAAGGTGTCCCACAAGGTGGCAATTTCAGTCCACTACTAGCAGATCTTACGCTTTCTGTCATGGAATATGACTATGCTAAATCTAAAAAGTTTAATAAAACTAAGCTGTTCATCCCATATAGATATATGGATGATTTGCTTGTTGTTCACAACCAAACTGATGATGATGGATGAACTACTTTCTCAAGTTTATCAAAATAACCTTCAGTTGAAAAAAACTCATAATAGTGAGGTTTCTAGTAATTATTTAGATTTAACAATTAATATCATTAACGGTAAAATTAGTACCAAGCTGTATAATAAAACGGATGATTTTACCTTCAGTGTTATCAGATTTCCGTATAGGGACACAAATATCTCTCTTATCAACAAATCCTCTGTTATATATACGGAAACTTTGAGGTTAGCGAACACTTGTTCGTTCTTCAACGCTTTCGTTAGCAAAATAACGGATATGATCACCACTCTTTTGAAAAATGGCTACGAGGAAGATTTTATTATTACTAGCATTGTTAAGTGTATTTATAAAAATAAATTTATAAGTTACAAGTACTCAATCGCAAATAAGATAACCAACCCACGAATGTAGTAGAAAGATAAATAGACTAGTCACAGGTTTACTCATTTGCAGCAGTGATCAACACTAATTCCCTTCTTTCCACTATTCTTTAATTGATTTATTTCTGGTATACCTTCTCTTATACTCACATTCTCTCAGGGTTTGCCGGTACTCCTTTCCCTTCCTTCCACAAGTATTTACAGCACACTTCGTATTATAGTATAATTCATCATCATCTTGATGCATGAACTTTGCATGTTACCCCCTTTTTACAATCTCCTTGTTTTCCTCTCCTTTTTGATTTATTTCTCACACCTTCCCCTATGTAGTCTATGTCCTCTTGTCTTCAACCTATCGCACTGATGATGCTCGGGGGTTGGCTAGACAATGATGATTCGTCTGCGATACCGAGCGAAACGGATCATCTGTGTTGTGGAGTGTATTCCTTTCCCATGTTTGTTTTTCTTTGCTTCTAATTGGTTATGGTCACGTAACGCCGATGGTGAAAGAATTCTCGAGTATGCAGAGGCCCATAACCTGGTCATCGTGAATACGAAGTTTCGCAAACGAGACTCCCACCTTATCAGCTTCTACAGTGGGAGTGCCAGAACGCAGATAACTTGTCCTTGTTAGACACCAGCGACAAGCGCTTCATACACGGGACGAAGACAGTGCCTTACGAGACAGTTGCCGCACACCACATCGCCCACTAATCTGCACGCTAAAGATCGCAAAGCTTCGGTCCAAGCGGGCCGAGCGATGTGGTCCCGAGAGGATTAAATGGTGGCGTTTGAAAGAAAAGGGAGATGCAATGTCACGAATCTCCAAGAAGCGGAGTCCAATGGACGCTTCTCTACGCATCATGATGTGGGCTGGCCAGTGAGACAGAACAGAACTCGGGAGCAGCAGGTGCAAGCTTGGTCTGATCGCCTGACGAAGTTCGGATTGAAGTTGAACATCAAGAAAACTGAATACTTGACGACCGATACAAATGAGTCCAATTCCATTAAAGAGTGTCAATCAAGCTCACACCGCAACAAGAGCCTTCAAAGCATCATGGCATCCAGAAATGTTTCGAGTGGCAGTCTGATCTCAGAGTGAACTCTCGATGTTAACGTGCAAGCATGGGCCAAGATTGAGCGCCTCCGATGATGAGTTCTGTGCGACAAAGGACCATTCACCAGAGCACCTCAAACACCCGAAGATAATATAGAACTTGGTCAGACCAGTAGCGCTGTACGGGGCTGAGTGCTGGCCTGCAACCAAAGAAGTCGAAGCCCGCCTTAGTGTGATGGAGATGAAAATGCTACGTTGGACAGCCGGTAGTCACCTGTAATGCGTCATCGGCCATATTGCCAACATTGAAATACTTAAGAATTTGGCGTAGCTCCAGTAGTTGACAAAATGCCAGAGTCTCGTCTTTACGAAGTCTATGAGACATGCTACTCCGCGCAAAGGCGGACACCGTCTGCAAAACTGGTCTCCAGCTCGAGGTGCTCGGCAAACGGCCGAGAGGACGCCCCAGGCAACGTTGGCTTGACACGCTGCACGCGGATTTGAAGATAGTTGGTGCTCACTGATCCAGGCATTGATCGGAATAAATGGCGTAACAAAATCAGGAGAGCGGACCCCGCCACAGAGCGGGACAAACGCTGAAGAAGAAGAAGAAGTTAGCGGCTTGGTAGGGGCACTGAATGGCACTCAAGTAGGCTTTTACATGCCTTCTTTTGAGGACCTGTAGAATTCTGTGATCGAAATGGCTCACTCCTGCAATTTCGCAGCTTCACAGGAGCTCACCTGTCTTACCAGGATGAGACCCGTTATTCAACATGAACTAACAAAGGAACTAGCGAAAGTGTAAAGTGCTCCCCCCCAATCCGAACCACGTTTGGCGCTGAACTGCAAACGAACGATAGTTACACAACACTTTTATTGTTTCAATCTGATGACAGCTTCCTAGCCACGCGACACTATCTTTCGAGAACATCGAGACCACTGTGCTTGCAGAGAGTTGCGGCAACAGGACAAAGTGATTCATTCCCCTGCCTGAGCTCAGTACCAGAAGAGGGCAGACGGCCGAACTCTGCACGGCCACGTCTCGGGCGCAGAAAACCCTCCAAACGTCGCGATCTCCTCCTACCAGGACCCCCATGGATAATAAATCATGCAGATTCCGAAAAGGCATTGATAGATGCGACAAGAAGGTTGGGAAAAGGCGGCTAAAGTCACAAGAAAAACCGCATGATAAAGAAACTACTATGAGAAAAACGTTATTTCCATAAGGAAAGGGAATGGAGGAAATCATTGTCACCATCCCTTCCCGAATGCCACTTTCTGAATTGATAAAACAAAGATAAGTACACTAACAGGGCGCTGTTCGGCTAGATCACGTTGAATTACATATCTGATCTTGGTGAGACCTGCACACTGTTGTCGAGTGTGGATAAAGTTCCTGCTATTGCGGCGCTTTACAGGAATTACAAGTCCTCACACGATGCGATTGCGATGGACCAGTAGAATGCCCCCACGGAGCCAAGAAGTGCCTTCTAACACTCACCCGTTTTATCCACACACCAAGAGGCGCAACTCGAACGTCCCACGAACAGTACTTCTTCAGCATTTCCGTATTTGAAAGGGCTAATACATTATAATAACTGATGCTGAAACACAGGCTGTCCACTTCAGAAGTTTTCTACTTGAACAGAACTCACTCTCCTTCCATACCGAGCTTTGTACAGTTGAACTTCACAACGGGGACTTTGGCACTGGTTCTTGCATTCACATTATCAACTTCTTTCATTTGCCGTAGAGCTTGAGCAATCTGTCGAACGATTTCCACGCCGTCAACGTCCTACAAAACACCGCTACCCTGTTGTTAACGCGAAAAATGAAAAAGGATGAAAATGAAAGGAAAAATATAAATGAAGTTTGGAATTTTAGCTAGGACGGCTCTAACAAAGACAACAGCGGAGAGGAACTGACTGACAAGGCGGAATCGCCACAAAGTTAAGTTGGAACCGCCAAGGAGTCCTAACTCTAGTAAAGAGTCCTTACCACATATAGATAGGCATGCAATCCGCGATATATACCGTTTTCACTTATAACTCACCACTTTTCAAACCAAATTCACCTTTTTCAAACCAAATTCACCACTTTTCAAATCAAATTCACCACTCTTTTTAGACCGGGCAGTTCACCAACCAGATCACGCCAGACACCACTGCGAACCCTGCCTCGACGGTCACGCCTACTTGTCAGCGCGGACATAGTTTTTAACACATGGCCGACTACGCACAGTCTTTGAAGGGATATATAGCTTTATTGCTTCGAAATTACATAACTTTTTCAACTTTTTAATTTCACATCCACTCTTTGCACAACGAAGACACTCGTACCCGCGCATTTATGCACTGGCAATTTAGGCTCCGCCCCTTGGCCACGCCCACTTGCTTTTTGCGGAATTTTGATATTTTTTCAAAATTTTTGCATTTTTGGACTGCTCCACGAAGCCCCGCCCACTGTGATCGGCTCCGCCCACTCTGAATAAGCCTCGCCCACAGAAAGATGAAAATGCTTTTGCACGGCTTCCGTCTAAGGGCACGTGCGAAACGGAAGCTGAGCTATCTCTTTGCTTTCGACCCCCCTCAATAATTCTCATTTATTAGATTTTACAACATAGTCCATTAATTATTTAATTTCAATTTCAATGATTTTATTTGTGTATGCTATTATCACGTAGCAGCTCGAGGGCAACCCGACGCTATGTGGTGGTAGAACCTGTAGAAGGGTTATGAGTTA